GCTGCTGGAACGAATTAATTTCGTAAGTAGAGGTACCACTGTACTGGCTTAGAAGACAGGGCCAAGATTTCTCAATGAAGACCTATGTGAGTGAAATACAGCTATAGCTTCAGCCTGCAGCACATCTCTGAAGATGCAGTTTAGGAACGATGCTTCAAGGAATGCTCCTTTTGCCACCCCTTAAGGCACACTCTCCCTTAATAAGGCTACATCTTCAAAGACATGGAAGGAACCACATACAATCTTTTATAAGGACAAGTGTAAACACCATTTCAAAACCATAATGTAAACACATAAAAACTTAACTGTATATACTCACGTATACATCTCGAAATTTTAATCTAATAATTGACCCAAAAAACCTGGGTCGACTTATGCATGGGTCAATGTAAATATTGTACTTTTAAGTCTTATTTCAAAAAAGGAACCATCTGTCCTGGAAGCACTGACTCCCCACTATTCTCATCTATCTAACCTTTAGAGTGAGCACAGTTATGCCTGCTGGAATTTTGTAAATTCTTTGGCATTGTTTTCCTTCACTTCATTCTTTACATCCTTTATTACATGCCCCTACATTTTACTCTTGACTTATCCATAGATCATATCAAAATCCATTATTTTGGCCCCAAAACTTGTCCTCGACCTATACATGAAGTTGACTTAGAGTCGAGTATATACGGTATGTCAAAATATTCCAGTTTAGGAGAACTTGTCACCAATTGATGAATCTATATGCAGTATTTTAGGAATAGCTTCTCTTCCACACAAATATTTGATTACAAATCACACATGGTAAGTGCGCACCAACACAATGGAAACTTATTTGTAGGTGAACACACATAGGATTGCTGTGTAAATTAGCCAATTCAGAATGCCCAGCCACAGTGACCTCTGTTTGCTTATCTTCTTTTTGTTAATGGCTCATAAATATCCTTGCACTCTCATTCTATACATTCCCCAAAAGATCAGATTGCGACATGCAATATCAAATATTGCTCTTTCACCAGGAAACGGGGGATATCATCAACAAAAGGTGATCAGGTTTGTCTGTCCCAGTCCATAGTTTTCCTGATGTACAATCGCCCCTGCGTTTTCGCGGACTTGGAGTCTGCGTTCCTTGCCCATTTGTGGGTGGCAAACGGAGGGGAACAAAATGGGGCGTGCGCCCATGGGCGTGCGCCACCATTCAAACCAATGGGACTTGAATATTGGTGATTTTCTGTTTTTGTGGTGTGTGTGTGTGTGTGTGTAGAACGGATCCCTAGCAAAAACGGAGGGGTGACTGTAATGAGAGATGGGAGGGAAGAGGGTTGTTGTATGACAGCATTCCTTTAAGAAAAAGGAAACCACAGAAATTTCTGGAATTTTGCCAGACTGGAACTATAGAAGCAGCTTCTTTTGACCTCTGAGCTGAACTCAATTGGAAAAATGTCTCCAGCTACTCTATCTGCAGGTCATCTGTAACTGGAGGCTTGAAAAGTTACCTAAGGCAGATCCTCTTTCTAATGTCCCTGCAGGAGAAGTAAGCATTTCAGCAAGATGTTGAAAGAAATTATGCTGTTTCCACAATCCAAGCTTGTGAACTTAGTGATTTCTTAATTCTCCTTTCCCACTTCCTACAAAAGCAGCCTGAACGAAAAACCTAGAGTGGCTAGAACATAAGAACACAGAAAAAGCTATTTTTTAGAATCATAACACCCAAAATACTCCAGACATTTCATCTGCATGAATATTAACATCAGGTGAAAAACGGAAGGTGGAAAGACATTTTCAGATCAAATACACATTTGAGAACAGCATGAAATGTTACTTTTTGGACCACCATTCCCAATGGCTATGTTGGCTAGAAGATTCTGGGAGTTAATGGGCCTGAAGGAATTTCATGTGATGTGCTACAATGTATGATTGCTTTGAAAACTATTTGTTTAGATGCCCATTTCTCACCTTCTGTTAACATTATTCATATAAGTGATACATTTCAGATTGACATTTTAATTTATAAGGCCTGAGTTGGCTTTTGCTTTTATAAGTCTACAACATAAATGCATAAAGACACACCCAACAGATAAAAGGAAAGTGAAGAAACCATAGATGACAGATAAAACGCTACAAATAATAAAGAAAAGAAGAGAAACAAAACAAAAATGAGAGAGGAATAAACTAAGAACCATGAATGCAACAGTACAACTGCTAGTGACCAAAGATAAGGAGAAATTCTACAATGAAAAATGTAGAGAAATAGAAAACAACAAGAAAAATGGAAGAATGAGAGACCTATTCCACAAGATTCAAGAAATCAAGGGAAAGTTCAAACCAAGGACCAGGGGTAGGCAACCTTTCCCTTTAAGGACCAAGGGACTTCAGCTCCCAGAAGCCTCAGCCATGTTGGCTAATAGTCCCATGTTGGCCAATAGCTCCTGGGATTCCCCATCCACAAAAAGGGAGACACAAGCAACTATAGAACCATAGCACTGATCTCCAATGCAAGCAAAATCATACTCAAAATTCTGCAACATAGACTCCAACCATACATGGAGAAAGAAATCCGAGAGATCCAAGCAGGATTCAGGAAAGGAAGAGGCACCAGGGATCACACTGCAA